CCTAAAGATAACTACTACAATAAGATAACTAAAAAAATACTATTGATTCAATTCCTATCCACGCCTTGCACGTCCTATTCCAAAAGACGGCATAAAACCTCACTAATCTAACTTTATCTTTTATTTACAACCTATTCCTATTCCTATGAGCTAAGGATATAACCTCCTTATAAAAAGGAAACTACTAATTAATACCCTAATATTTATAACCAAAGTACTTATCTTTTTAGGAAAACCCATTTGGTCTCCCCACACCTATTAGAATACATAACTTCTATTGCAAAACTTTATCTAAATAAACACTCCTATCCCTAATATATAACTCCACCTCCACCCTAAAGAAATAATCCTGAACATGTATTGCCAATTCAAAAGGGTAAACCTTTTTCTAAGAGACTTGTCTCGAAAACAAAGAGATTAGGTCAAATTAAAGACGGACTCTAAAATTAACGAACTTATTAAAGTAAACCTAAATATCCTAATTTTAATAATTAATCCTAATAAATAAAAATAAAATATTCTACCCAAACTCTAAAAATAAAATTAACAAAAATAAAATAAAAATTTGTAGACCCTAGATTTTGAACTGTGAAAAACCCTTGGTTGGAGAAAACTCGTCTTTGAGTTGTAAAATGCACCAAGATAAAATTTGTAGTAGTCCTGCCTCTTTCTTCATCCTGAATATTGAAAAAACGATCTTACAACCTGTGGGTTACTGCATTGATCAAGACACAACTATGGTGCATTGAAATTGTGAAACCCTCGAGGAAATGGTCGTTGTATGTTGATTTTTCAGCCACATCAATGTGTTGAAATTTCTCAAACTTCACCTTGGGGCACACCACAAATACATCTGTTTCTTCGTCCTACGTCTCCATAGGCTCGATCTCTTTTACGATCAAGTCAACATCTTGATTATCGACCTCTCCATCGATAAGAAAATTAGATATCCTTGCTGCCTCATGGATAAATTCTTTCCTTTCATCTTGTTCGTTATCAAAACTAGGAAGTTTATTAAAGATGGGGTAAGGAATTGAAGATCCAAAACTACATGTTCTTCATATTCATCTGGTTCTTCATCAAACTTAGGTAGATCAATCTCCTAACCATAAGGAAATAGATCATTATCCCGACCATTAGGCTCCCGACAAAGAGTGTTGGCATGGAACGGGTTTTCGAAAATAGCGTCTGACTCACTATCGTCATCATAGGGTGTCGAAACTAGGTTTTGCCCTAAGCGTAGGGTCAGCTCTTTTGGTTGCCATCTCAAACTTTTGTTCTCCATCTCTCGAAGAGCTTAGAAGTTTCGTTCTCGCTAGATGGATTGATTCTTGATGCCCCGCCATAGATCTTATCCACGAGCCATGGTGCCAATTGACTAAGACCATGATCCACAAGAATCGGCTATGCTCTGATACCACTTGACGCAACATAGAATTTGCTGGTGAGTATCCCACCAAAGATCTATCTTTGCGTTGACGCCATTGTTCACAAAATCGCCCGAGCTAACTGCTAACCGCCCGGTTAGATCAGAACTGGCTAATGGCCGGTTCCGGTTTTGAGCGGGTTAAGGTAATCAATTGGTATATTTTTTTTTAAAATGTATATAAATTCTCAAAAATAAGGAATTTGATTTGTAATGCATTTTTAAATATTCTTTACATTATGGTAAAGATTAAAAATTGTTTTGGTCATTAATACTCACTTTTATATTTTCCCATCTTTTTAATTTTTTTTAAAAATAACCCTTGGAAAATATAAAATGGGTTAAAATCAATTTTTCAATTAATTTTCAACTTCATTTGAATGTGTTTTGTTTTAATCATTCTTTATATGTTTTTCATATATTAGTGGATTTTTTTTTGTATTTTTTTTATATTTTTTTCAACACTTTTTTGACTGCTCGGGACTTGCGCAGTTAGAGCGGTTGAATCGGCCGGTTTCCCTGTTTGGCTGGTTAAACCGCATCCAAGCCCATGTCCGGTTGACTGTTCCGGTTCGATTTTGCAAATACTGGTTGACACTGTTTCCGGTCTCATTGATCAAAACTATGTTATCTCCGAATAACATGCACCATGGTACCTAATCTTACAAGTGCGTAGTTAAGTCGTCCATAACTAAGACAAAGATGTACGAGGTCAATGCTGACCTTTGATGTAGACCTATTGTCACTGAAAACTGACTCGTCTCTCAATTAGTTGTTCGCATACTAGTTAATGCTCTATCGTACTTATCTCTCACTAAGTCTATGTAGTGTTTGAAGACTCATTTCTTTTCCGTCACCCTCCAAATCTAATCTTGAGGTACTCTATCTTAAGTTTTTTCTAGATCAATGCAGACCATGTGGTGGTCTTTTCCGTTCGCCTAAACTTATCGATCAGTTGCCTAAGTAGGAAAATAGCCTTGGTTATTGACCTTCCTGACAAAAAATCAAATTGATTTTTTGATACACTCGTTTCATACCTTAGTTGTTGCTTAATCACTCTCTCCCAGATAGTTTGCACAATTATGTATGTCTACTTTGTTCTTGTAAATAGGTACCACAATACTTTTCCTCCATTCGTCGGACATTTTCTTTGTTCTCGGCACCTTGTTGAATAGCTTCGTCACCTAGTTAATGCCAATCTCCCCCTTGTACTTCCAAAGTTCTATCGGGATACTATCTGGTCCTAAAGCCTTTCCTATCTTTGTCCTTTTCAAAGCATCTTTCACCTTTGATATCCTAATCCTACGAATGTATCTATGACCTCTACCCTTATATATACCTACAGTTCCTTCTTTCATTATGTTCCCATCATGTTCGTCATTTAATAAATTTTTAAATAAACTTTTTACCTTTCGTTGACCTCGTCATCCTTCATCAAAACCTTTTGATCTTCATTCTTTGATCTACGAATGTACAAATGTATCTATGACATCATCTCCAACATTTAATATCTTTTTTATGTATTTTTTACTATTCGCTATTACCATTCACAACTACTGTTAGCGGATTATTGTTCACTGGAGTATTTTTGAAATTTTTAGTATTGTTTTAGGGGTGGTGTGGAGGTAGTAGTAATGATTATTTGGCATTTATTAATTAGTAGGGGTAGTTTAGTATTTTATTATAATTTAGGGTTTAGAAGAGTGACTATTTGAAAATTTGAGAAGAGTTTATAAAGGAGTTTTGCTATATTTTTCATTATAGAGAGACTTCTCTCTATTGGAGCATCTCTAGCTTAACTTTTGGTGAATCTGTTGAGTTTCAAGTCTATTTCCTGTTGGATCTTGTTCATTTATACTATGTGCTATCTCTCTCCCTCTCCCTCTCTCTCTCTCTCTCTCTCTCTCTCTCGTCTCTCCCGTTTACTATGTCTCTCTCTCTCTCTCCAAGTTTACTGTCTCTCTCTCTCTTGCCCTCTCCATCTTTATCGTTTTCCCTCGCTTTTTTGTTCACTTGTCCTCTCTCTATTTTTTTTTAAAATTTTGCATTTATTAAATTTATACTATTTTCTAAGTTTTATAATAGGGTGTGGTTTGTATAGAGCCGAGGCTCTAAACAATTAAAGTAAAGCCTACCTTCAAAGAGTGTTGAGAAATATGGTTTTAATACTGGAAATCTTTGTGATGGCCTTCAAATATATTTTCATTTTTTTATTATAAAATTTAAAGCTTCAAAAATAGTGTAGATCTAGCAGATCTATAAAAGCTTGAAAATCTAAAAAATTGACAGTCCAAAAATGCATTACAAGATGCACTATTTCCAAAATTTGAAATCCATTTTTTTCTCATGTCCATTCATCTTGATGTTGAGATGATCAATTCGAGGATATTTGGGCAACAAAACAAACCTCTTCTAGTGCAAATTTTGAGGTGGGCTCTAATTTGATTGTTTAGAGCCTCGGCTCTATATAAACTTTTTCTTGTATAATAATATGTATTTTTTTAAAATTTTTATTTTTTATATTTATACGCTTAAATTATAATTATTGTTGGAAGAGTCAATAAGTGTTCATATTGACTTACCGAGTAGCCAAGTACCAACTCAACTAAGGCTCCGTTGCTTTCTAGCTCGTGGTTTTTAGTGTGGGAGCTGTAGGTACTTATGGGAAAAGTGTCATTCAACTATTGTAAAAAAGAAGCTAAAGCTATATAATAATTAATTTTAGATATAACATAGAAAGATATTAATAAGGGAGCCTAATTGGAAGGGCCATGAAGCTGATAAAGATCAACTGCATTGATGCATAAGAGGATTTCTAAGTCCTCTTATTTATCTTTTGTACAAAAAATTCAAAAATTCAACCATCATCTAACTGAAGATGGTTACAAATATATGATTGCTTTAGTCTACTCGTACTGTCTATAGATAAATTTTGAAGTTACTTTTGTTTTGCCATTTTTTTGATATCAAAACCATAAAAGATTATATGTGCCTTTTGTGTGTATTTCCTGTTCGTCTTTGAATCATTCTATCAGCAATCATATAGAAAAAGGAACGAATTACATTATTGTTTGTTGATAGCATTCTCTATTAGCAGGTATGTTTGCTACATTGTGTTACAAAGACAAATACTTGTGTGATATTATTATGATATGAGTGTCAAAAATGTCAACTCTAGACATGACAAGCTTGTACACCGTTTAGGAAAAGGAGGTGGGTTTTAGATGGAATTGAAGTTTTGTGGAGTGACACTTTAACAAGAAAGGATAACAATGTCTAAATTTTTAAAGTGTTAGTCATGAATGTTGTATCATTTGTGTGTCGACATATAGCAAAACTATTGACATACATGTCCATATCACATAGAATGTGTCTGTGAGAGAGAGAGAGAGAGAGAGAGAGAGAGAGAGAGAGAGAGATTTGATGCTTCTAATAATATTTGTTGGATGTAGCTCTTGTGGAGACACTAGAGAGAGAGAGATTTGATGCTTCTAATAATATTTGTTGGATGTAGCTCTTGTGGAGACACTAGAGAGAGAGATTTGATGCTTCTAATAATATTTGTTGGATGTAGCTCTTGTGGAGACACTAACCACCAAAATTAAGGCTTGGGAGGAGGAAAAAGGATTCCCGTTTCTATATGATAAGGTGAATAATGAAACAAAATGTCAGTGGCAAATGATGATATTGACTTTTATTATCTTTTTTACCTTATGTGGATTGTAAGATAGATGAATTCTTTCTTGACCTTCCAAATCGAATACATGCGAATTAATGTAAATGCAAAATTACAGGCTCCTCTGTTAGAGACATTGGAGGAATACACTATATTACGGCAGGACAGAGAGGAAGAGAAGAGGAGATCAAGAGTACGTATTTTCACGCATCAACTCATCTGAACTGAAAGTATTTAGTACATTCATTAGTCAGTAAATTTGTGTTAAAAGCATCTAGTCTGCCTGTTAGCCCGTTGGGTCATCTACTATTTGAATTTTGGACTATGCAGTATCTTCGATAGAAATCATAGAAGGAGCGATATTGAGAAGTACCGAGTAATTAAGGATACTTAGAAGATAATTGTTTGTAATAGTTAGAGCGTGATGTATTCTGTTATTATTTCTTTTTATAGATTGTAATCCACTTATTCTCTCTCTCTCTCTCTCTCTCTAACAGGAGCAGAAGAGATTGCAAGAACAATTTGCAACGGAGCAAGAAGCACTGTTTGGGTCGAAGCCAAGTCCTATGAGGCCTCTCTATCTAAAGAAGCCATTGGGTCACAATGTAAGTGGAGGCACGGCAAATGGGACCCCGACAAACCGGAGGTTGCCTGTTGGTGGTGCACGATCAGCTGTCAAGGATGGGAGAAAAGAGAGTGGCAGAGGTGGTAGTGGAATCGGTATACCTGTAAACTATGTCGCCCTCTCCAAGGATGACTGTAATTCTCATAACACCTCGACTGTTGCATCACCATGACATAGAGATGAGATTTGTGTCTTTATGAATTGTTTGTGAAGATTGGGGAATGTTTGGAAGTAATTGTCGTTTCTTTGCCTTGTTTCAGTTTTTTTTTAGGAAAAGTTTAACTAGTTTTATTTTTTTATTTGGAATTTAAAGCTTTAAAAAGAATCACACTGGTAAATGATGGATTTTAGTTCTCTCGTGTGTTTGCTTTGTCGATAAATGCTCATTGGAGGTCTAACACTCTTACTTGTGAGAGGCATTTGAACACCCATATTCCTCATGGTAAATAATACCTGATTGGAGTAAAAGAAAAGACAACTCTCTCTCTTTCTAATAGAATGACATCTCTCTCTTTCTAAAAGAAAAGACATCTCTCTGTGTTATGCCTGGTGCGAAGTTAACAGTGTGCGGTATTGAACACCTCTTCTTCGGGAAAGATGAGAAAGGCAAAGTACTATCTCCCCCCTCTCTTTGGCATAGTGTTATAGGGCTGTTAATGGGCTTGGGTCTGCTCTGTTGGCCTTGTGGCTAGGGGCCCATCCAGGCTTGTTTGGGCAGCATGTTAAGCCCTGTGGGCCGGGCTTGGACTCTTGGTAGGTTCGAAATATTTTACCGGTGGGCCAAAACCACTTCTGTCCTGGTCCAATTTTTTTGTAAGTACATATCACATGCATTAAATGTGTTTTCTTCCATATTTATATTGCGCCTGACCTGATCCTATCCGGCCCAATATTTTTTGGTCCCACCCGGGCTTGGCCTCATTATTATGAATTCCAGCTGGGCCCGAGCCAGGCTTGGGCCTACCCTACACTGTTTCGGCCAGGCTAAGGCCGGAATGGCCTTCCCCGAACCGGGTGTCTTAACGCCCTACTCAAACAATGACATACAGGCAGACATGAAAGGGGGAATAGGATACTCTCATAAGAATATGAATAAAAGAAATATTTCCGTGTCTTTCCTTTCTTGTGTTAAATCAAAAGCAAATTGGTTCCTTCCTGTCATTCAAACTTCATGCCTATCATGATCATGGCCTCAACTCTCTCTCTAGCTTGATACCATCCTAGCCAATGTCTAACCGAAAGCAAATCAGTGCCCTGCCTTCCTGCCACTCAAAGCCGACCGGACCCGAATTTACCGGACCTGGACTTGGAACCAAAAATATAGTGTGGGACCTGAACCCGGACCCGGACCCGGACCTGATCCAAAGATTAAAATATTTATGTATTTACCAGTATTTAAATATATTTAATATATTAGGACCCAAAAAATATTATGGGAGCCAGACCCGATTGGACCTTGTCGGACCGAGATCTGGATCGGTATAGTGTTTGGGTCCAAAATTTGGATATGGACTTAACCTGCCGGGTCTAATTTTTGGACCGATATCTAGACCCGGATCAAGTCTACCTCTTGGGTCTTGGGTTGGGTCTGGGTCAATTTCCGCCCCTACTAGGAATTGATTACCAGTCATTTTGGGGGGACAAAGAATGGTTTGAGTCATGCACCTTGTCTGCTTGTTTTATTCAGATCAGAATCCATATTTACATGGAATTGTGTTTGATGGACGATGTGGAGTGCATTACAATATCCTGGTTTGCCATTAATGCAGTGGGAAGATATCTATGTTGCCTCTACAAGTGGATATTTGTGTCATCTCTAACACGAGGTTGTCCCTCTATTGTAAGCATGAAATATTCAATAATCAGATTCCATTTTTCTTTTCCCTTTCTCATTTTTAATGAAGAGAGAGAGAGAGAGAGGTTGTATGCTATGGTACTTTTCTACACTGTTCTTATTGGGCGTAGCAATGTTTTTGAGTTATTGACCCTGGCCTTCTACAGGGATGGCTTCCTTCTCTAAAATTTTTGAAATAATTTATTTTTAAAAATTTTCAAATAGTTTTTCTCTCTAAAATTTTTGAAATAATTTATCTCTAAAAATTTCAGGTATTTTGTGTAAGATACTTCTCTATCTAAAACTTAAAATAGGAGATAATGTATCTCTCTAAATTTTTTAAGATATTTTATCTTTCGAATTTTTTTAAATAATTTCTCGATCTAAAAGTTGATATAGTTATTGTCTCTCTAACATCAATTTTCTTTGTGTTAAGCTAGGGCTTGGGACATTAAATTTTTGTGCATTTTTGGTTATGGCAAAAAAGAAACCATTGATCATCTATGTCAATGGATGCGACTATGTAAATATCGATATTCACTTTGATTTGTTTTGTCTTGTGTTTGATCCCAATCATTTATCTTAATTTTCACAATTGTCATGTCTAGGGTTTTCATGACATTATAGATTTTTTTTTTTTTTTGACAAGAATGCGGAAATTTTAATGAAATATGATAACTACAATGAAATTATATAATGAAAAAAAAAAAAACATTATACTTAATTTGGATAGTGGATTTGGATACTTTATGGATTTGCATAGTCTGTCTTGTTTATTTTGTCGCATATGTCACTTCCCATAGTTATTTTAATGTCTTGGAAGATACGATTTGTTTCAAAAGGCAAGCACTATTTGTATGAGATAAGAGAGCATGGGGGTAAAGAAACCAAATAAATTATTACCTACATAAAACAAATCCTAATATTTTAATTATTAAGCAAAATTAATAATAAGTCAATATTCTATGGCAATAATGCATGGAAACTTCAGTTTATATGGCATTGGAGTCAATTCACTTTGAGATGAAAAGCTCTTATAAATTAACACAAGGGTGACCTCCTTTTATAATCCCAGAAGATTATCCCCTCCTGAGGGAGCTTACTGTCCATTTACTCCCTTGAGTAAAATCGTACTTAGAAGTATTTTTAGGACCCTTAATTTGTGATGATGTAACATCCTCAACGTAGCAACCTACCTCTAAAAATAAAATAAAATAGAAATAGAATAAAATAAATATTAGTGTTGTATACATGTCCTATATTATAGACGGTTAGATCTAAATATTTCAGAACCCACATCCTTTTTTTTTTATTTTCACGTTTTTTGGCACTCAAATTCATTCTCTTTTAAGGATATTCATATGTGGTGATTCAAAATGGATCCCAAATTTTCAAGTGGATCAAGTCCTCATAAGTAACTTTTTTGCCTGAGGGAGTAAGAGTACAGTGTGCTCCGGATGGAGTACACCATTTGTGCTCTTGAACATTTTCACCCATTAAAAAAAGGGGATGAGGTAGTGCTGTTACAATTGAACCAGGTTCTCACCATTTCCAATTAAACTTTATATCTCAAAGTAATTCTTACCCATAAGCAAACTCCTTTCTTCCCGAATTAGCTAACCCAATACCCCTTTACAATGGAACTTCCAATAGATATCAAGTTATGGTCACCATGCAACTTATAATATGCTTTGGTGGCCAATGGAACTGATCAGTATCATACGGCCTAGCAGGCCTTCCCTTTCCGCCGGAGCTTCATGGGCGTTGCCCCGTTCCCCAATCGGAAGTTTGGATGTGAGCTATACTCCGCGAGGAGCCATAAAAAAGATAGGTTTGGTGTCGTATGTCGGTACATGTTTTCTCGTGCCAACAATTTTATTTTTGGGAGGCAAAAAAGAACTATCAGAACAACAAGCTTGTGGCTCAAACGGGACCTTGCTGTGGCAAAATCTAGTGCTCTGAAGCTCCACAACAGGAACAAAAGCATAAAAAAAGAAGAAGGAAAGTATAGAATGTGACCTTTTTACCTTTGGTACAAGGTGGTTACATTAATCTAGATTATTGGATGTGAAATTGGGTGGTTGCAATTATTTCATTAGCTCAAACTTCAAAAGAAATTTTCTTGAATTTTGTGACACATCCAAGCTATCAAATTTTACATCGGATGATTGTAAATGATTGTGACCACCTTGTATCAAAAGTAAATAGTCTAATCGTGTGCAATCCCATAAAGAAAAACTTTCCCTATAGAGATTAAAGGATAGTATCATTTAAATATTAATTGTGATTACATTTTGAAGAATTTGATCTACGGGCAAACGTACTAGACACCTTAGGCATGTTGTTCGACATTGGCGTCTATGTAGCACTTGTTGGTAATCATTCATCAAGGAAAAAAGACATTCGAAAATTTACTTCCATTCTTTACATGGTAAAGACATGTTATGTGAGTTTTACCTTCAAGCAATGACTAAAAAAGAAAATAGAACTATAATCTTGTGAAAGAATCAATCAAGGGGAATTTATCAAAATAAACGTTAGATATCAACTATTTATCGATATTTTTTGATTTATTTTCAAAATACCGACTAAAATACATGTGATCATGGTTGGTACAAGGAAAATTGTCAAATTGTTGAAAAGTTAGGTTTATTTTGAAAAATTTCCCAAGAATCATTACACATAGAAAAAAGGTAGAAATCATAAAGTACTGTGTTCATGTCTTAAGGTTTCCCTTCTATAAAGTTCAACATAGCTTCAAAAGATTCTCAAGATATATGAATAAATTTGCATTAGAATTTGATCCATTACTTACCCAATTTTATTTATTTTTTGATCCATTTCAAATATTTTCTTTGTCATGTGTAGTTCATCTTGTTAGAAATACGAATAATATGAGACCTTTTGTGCTTTCCATCTCATGTATGAAGTTTTATGCATTAAAAGTGGTTTACGATTAATTTTGAGCGTTTAAATTACGATTCTAAAAATATTTTTACAAATTATGCCCACTCATTGTTTCTTTACCCATAACTTTGGTTTTCCTTTCTAATTGTAATATTAGGAAAAAAACGTATTTAATGTCTTTTAATTTTTTATCTTAAATTTCTATAACTTTTAAATTTCATTCATGACTCATTTTCTTAAAGAAATATTATAATATAACAGTTAAAATGAAAAATTTCACAAAATTTCTATGCTTTAAAAGTACTTTTACTTTATGTTAATTTTCAAGCTTCTTATAATGAAGGAAAAAGTTTATATAAGGTTGCAACGTTACCTCTATAGCTACGGATGCACCTCAAAAATCCACCAGAAAAGGTAGTTTTAATATTGAAAAAC